AACCCCTGCCTAAAAAAAGACAGCGAACTCTTGGAAAGGGTTCAGAGAACAGCAACTAGGCTGATTCCCGGAATAGCGAAGCTCCCGTATGGTACTAGACTGACCAAGCTAAACCTATTCCCGCTGTCATATAGAAGAATCAGAGGTGACTTGATTATAGTTTTCAAATTGCTAAATGACAAATTTGCACCTGATATGCCCTCATTTTTCTTGTCTTCCAAAACAGAAACGAGGACACTCCAAAAAAGTTCACAAGCCCAGAACGAATTACTTGTCAGCTGACTACCGACTTTCCCATCGAATAATCAACGAGTGGAATTCATTACCTCAGCACGTGGTTGAGGCTCCATCCGTCGACTCCTTCAAAAGAAAGTTGGATCAGCTGAGAGACCATCATTGCCGGGACTAATACAGGCCATCAAGCCTCCTGTCCTTTCCAAACTGAAACTGAAACTCTTTTATTAGTTATGTTTTTATTTATAAATTTCTCCGGATATCCATTTTCTCTCAGGGTCATATAATGCTTTTGTTTCTTCTTCGACCGTATCTTCAGAGCATATGGTCTTAATTCTATAGTGTAATGTCTTAATTAGGTTCCTTTTGTACTGTAGAGGAACAAAACTAAGAAAGTTAGTATACTGACCCGTCCACGAGGTTTTCCTGTTTATATTTCTCCTTAATGAACCGTCTTTTCTCTTTGTAAGGAGAACATCTAGAAAAGCAATCCTACCTCCATTTTCCTCCTCACATATGAATTTAATAGACGGATGGGCTGTATTGAATAGCTGTAGTGTCTCCATTAAGTCGGTATAGTCGTTACATAGGATGAATGTGTCGTCCATATATCGGCAATAAAGTGAAAACTTTTCAATCTGCCGTGTGAGTGGGCCGTTTTCTAGTTTCGCGAGAAAAATATCAGCCAATATGGGACCTAGGGGTGAACCCATCGCGACACCATCTATTTGTCTGTAGATTTCACCATTGAATTTGAAATGTACATTCATAGTACATTTTAGTAGCAATTCTTTGATGGTCTTCACAGGGACTGTAGTTACTATTTCCTGTTCACAAATATATTCTACAGTCTCTCTGAGTGGTACATTTGTGAACAATGACGTTACGTCAAAAGACATCATCTTTAGACCTTTGGTGTTTATGTTTTTAATCTTCTCGACGAATTGGAATACATCCTTAATAATGTGCTTTACTAGTTGTTTGTGAAGTGGTTTTAAAACGGTTACTAACCACTTTGCTACCATATGGTAAGGAGAATCGTACATGTCTAAAATTGGTCTCAATGGGATATCAGGTTTATGTACCTTCGGTAGTCCGTATAACCTAGGTAAATGAGTATCTGTCGGCCTGATTGATTCATATATGTCTTGTGGAATTATCTGTTGATCTCTGAGCTTTTTTAAAGACCTGGTCAGTTCATTTTCTATCTTATTATTGACATCTTTTTGGTTATTCAATTTCTGAAATTTTCGGTGATCATTCAAGATGTTATTCATCTTGTCAATGTAGTCATTTCTATTAAGTAAGACAGTTCCTGTTCCTTTGTCAGGTTTTGTGATAATCAGGTTCTCGTCATTAATAAGTTCACTGATAGCCTCCTTATGTTTTTTAGTCAAAATACTTCTGTAATTATATCTACTATTCTTAAACTGATAGCAACACTCAACGATGCTCGCTTTGAAACGTTCAAGTTCCAGATCCGAAGTTGGGACTAGATCGGATGTCTGACGATATAGGTTTTCAAATTGGATGTCCGTATCCATATGGTTTACGCGATTTCGTGTATCACAAAATTTTAGACCTAGTGCTAATACTTCAAGTTTCTCTTTATTTAATTCTTTACTCGAAAAATTATACACATACCTTTTCGGTTCAGTCGGAAATTCATTTTCAACCGCTTGGTTCTCCAGGCTTTTGAGAAGTTGGATATGTTTCTTGTCTGATCTTTCTTTCGTTATCTTTGTGACGTAATCCATAAACTGGGACTTAAGGTCTTCTGTTAATTCATCAACTGCAAATTTTCTGCGAGCAATGTTTACTTCTATTTCCGTCAAATCATTATTTAATTTATCTATATTATTAAGCGCATGGCGTTTTAGTGTTTTTCTGTTTGGATGAACATGATTACGGCGTAGTGACTTATAGAATAGTTTTGGATAATGCCCTGATTCAATACAGTTCCTCATAAATTCCAATGATTTTTCCGTTTCTGTGATCTTTGCGTTATACTTCAGGTACTCGTTGAGTGCCCTCAACGCAATGGGTTGATCACAAGATTTTAATCGCTGAAAAATTCCCATCATATTAAAACAATTATATGAACGAAGAATATTCCTTTCAATAATTTCTCATCAGGTTCTACAATTATAAATTAATAATCCACAAAAGAAAATTGGCCAAGTTTAAGGCAGAGTACATCATTTAAGAAACTGTAACATGTGAATCAAGGAGTATTTGTCATATAAAATAAGATCGAATCATTAATGTTTTTGGGATTATTATTATCTTTAGCAGAGATGGATAGTGGCTAGCAGTGGAATCCAGGACGCGCGTTTCGTCCTATTTGGGACTCGTCAGCTGGACGTACCTGCATCTCAGAGTTGATGTTCACTCTGGGACTCGAACCCAGTACCCTCGCTTCAAACGCCATCGCGTTATCCACTCGGCCACTGAGTCCTGATAGCCACTTGCTTGTGCGATGGGGTGAAGTTTAAATTCAACTTAGTATTGTTTATTTGAATCTTCCCATCGATTTGTTAGGACTGCAACTGGTCAGTCTCTAATTGGCATATGTGCATACTGTGCGTATTGCCTCGATATACCTTAATTCACAAGCATGGTTAGCAGAGATGGATAGTGGCTAGCAGTGGAATCCAGGACGCGCGTTTTTTCGTCCTATTTGGGACTCGTCATCTGGATGTACCTGCATCTCAGAGTTGATGTTCACTCTGGGACTCGAACCCAGTACCCTCGCTTCAAACGCCATCGCGTTATCCACTCAGCTACTTAGTCCTGATAGCCACTTGCTTGTGCCACTATCTATCTCTGCTTACCATGCTTGTGAATTAAGGTATATTGAGGCAATACGCACAGTATGCACATATACCAATTAGAGACTGACCAGTTGCAGTCCTAACAAATCGATGGGAAGATTCAAACAAACAATACTAAGTTGAATTTATTATTATCTTTATTATTATTATCACACCTGCTAACCTTTTATAGAAATTTATTTATCATCCACCCCCTGTCTACTTTATCTGACCTAATTTATATAATTCTACATATTACGTAATTTCCGATTTGTAATCCTATTTTTGTAGCTCTCACCCCCATATCAACTATATATATATTCTGATAATTTATCTTACGATTTTATTTCACCTATAAACTGATTCAAGTTAACACTTCATATTAGTCATCCCAAAAACATTAATGATTCGATCTTATTTTATATGACAAATACTCCTTGATTCACATGTTACAGTTTCTTAAATGATGTACTCTGCCTTAAACTTGGCCAATTTTCTTTTGTGGATTATTAATTTATAATTGTAGAACCTGATGAGAAATTATTGAAAAGAACTAAATAATTGTTGCTCAATTTCTTACTACGGATAGTTAACTAATGAATTGATTACTCAGCTTTAAAAATGCCCTAGCTACTTACGTAATATAATTGTTTGGCCCCAAATGCCCTGGTACGGTCGAGAGTGGGGAGTCCGCTCTCCCTCTCAAAATGCTCTCATATGGCCACGCGAATATATAGCCTCTGCCAGGGAAGTCCTACTCACTGCCTTCTCGTGGCGGGGGTGTTGTTCACAAAAGTGAGAGGACGAAAAGCGAATGTCCAGCGCTTTAACCGGGTTGGTGGATGTGGAGGATCCACCTAGGGGAGTTGGAAAACCCTGATTCCAAACTAATGATGCACATGGGCTCCAGTATCCTGATGGAACGAATGGTGAATGAACCTTCTGCTGGTCACCGGCTACCATGGGACTACATCTCCTCACGATGCTCCACTGCCTTGTGGAATAGACCTTTAGGTCCAAGGCTCCGGGTGTGTTCCCCTAAGAAAAGCACCTGCTCCAGTTTGGACACCTGGGCAGTATCACAGCCCTTACACAAATCAAATGAGATTTGTGCGGCGCATATATATATGGTGCTTTTTTCTACCGATATGTTTGTGTTTAAATAAATCTTATTGTTTTGCGATCTGGTATTTTAAATATACAGTCATCAAACCTTTGTGGGTTGATCACTTTTTGTCATTTCGAACTAACCAAGAAAGTGAATACGTCAAAGTTATCAACTTCTGAACAAGTTGATGTATACTTGGTACGATTTATTCCCAAAACACCCAAAGCTTCTTTTTGTATATACAAAGAAATCTGCACTTTCGACTAGTTTTGTAGTCTAGAGATATACAAATAATTGTCATATATTCTTAGTAATTGAATTATGAGTTCTTGGATATAATTATTATAGATTTAATAACGATGTTAAGAAGCTAATGTGGGCCGCGAAACAGGAAGCCTTAACCCATTGTCAATAGATCAGATTTTTTTGCCTTAGTTTATTCTGTATTATTGCCATTCGAATTATCAGTCATACTTTTCTAATTAAAAAAATATTTACTCCAAGAGTATACTTTAAAACAATTACGTTGTTTAACTTGGATAATATTAATCAAAGATAATCAGTATTTATTATTGATTAATTAAAATATAGTCACATTTCTCGTATACCATTATTCTAATAAGATTGTAGCGGTAAATAAATCCCCAAAATCAATAGCTCTATAAGTTTTCTACAGTGGACGCTGACCACATTAGTTTTAATGGACTCATTTGTCTGAAGGCGTTCGGTCATGCATCCGCACCAGATCACTAGTTGGAACGTTGTGCTCAACGTCTCCTGAGATCACTAACCAGTTTAAATCAGTCACTCCTCGATATATTGATAATCTATCACATATATATCTTCCAACCTCCTCGCTTCTGACTTTTAATTTCACTGGGTAGGCGCGATTCAATTATAGGTGTTACTGGTAAAGTGTTCTCAAACTACAATACCTGTGGTATCTTCAAGATAATATCACTATGCTTACACTCTAAGGTAGATGCACATAGTAATACTTTTTTCCTACATTATTTTAGAGGTAAACTATGATTTAAAATAAAATAAATATATATTTAACTGGTTAGAAAATGTTAACACCGTTAATTCTTATTTATGATTACCAAACGAAAATATAATCCATAAAGACCAAATAAATATGTAGTGATATAATGAAGAAAAAAAGAAATAACCTTTCAATAATAAAAGTATAATGAAAAAGACTAACAATCACTACACTTATAATGAATATTAAATAAACAATAAGAAATTAAACATTGTAACCCATGAAAATGATGCTTTAAGTATTAAGAATATACTGTCATACACAATTATCTAATAAAAACAAATATATTTCAATACGGGTATACATACAGATGTTTTCGGGATTTGAAAAGGAAAAAAAATTTAGAGTACAAATAACATGTACATAGATGCACAAATACAGTGCATAAATTACACGACCAAACAATTACAGATTAATTGGACTTATGTTTTGTTTTGTTTATTTTTGATGATATTATCGGCCTTTCTTACGACCTTTCTTTTGTTGCTGTTTAGCTGTATTAGACATTTGTTTAGGAGTAGATCCTGCTGAACCGTCTTCAGGAATTTTGACTTTAGGACTACGTATAGCAGCATCCCTAAAATGAAATTTTTTTTAGATTTACAAAATTTATGTATAGATGAATCTACAATTGAATAGTTTATAATAAAATCATTATGTATCTGGTTATTCTATGTGCATTTATAAATAATTCAAATCTCAAAACTCTTAAAATGAATAAAAAAACAATACACATAATTTGATGTGAAGCATTGTTTAAGTACGTGAATTCTAGTACAGTGGGGTCCCGAAAAATGTAAAACACCAATGAAGCGATAAAAATGAAGACTAAGGGAGGAAAGAGTACTAAAATCAATCAATAAATAAAAATGAGTCGCATTTAATGAGAAATATAATTTACTTCGCAGCATAACCGAGTAAGACTTCTCCTAGCCCAATAAGTAGATCTCACTTTTGTGAAGTGTGAAGGAAAATCAGGATTGAATTACCACCGACTTTTATTCTGAACCATATCTAATAACATCTTAATCTACTGAGTTTCACATTTTCTAAAGACTGACAGATCACAATCCTATCTCCTTGTCACGGTGCCATATCATAAATTGACCATCACATTGCTTTTTCCACTCACTATCAGAGTAAACAAACGATCTTCGATGTAGAAGTCAGTGAGATGGAACTCGTAAAACACGACCCAGTTACTGAAGTTGATATTCCACGACGATGACACTATTCCAATTATCGCCTATGTCCAAAATGCACATTGTCAGGTATTGGAGTGACAAAGGCGGTGTTGCCACCGGATATCATCAATCATGCAACATAGTCACTGCACTTCTTCAGCTTTGAGAGATCAGGTCTCACGAACAAAGAGCAGAAATACTCTGATACGTTGTAAACCGAACCCTTTACGGTTAATATAAAATAAAGATGTCTCCAAAGCTGATCCAGATGGGGATAAGCCACTTTGGCTTCTACTATACGTGGATTGACATTTTGTGTTAAACAAACAACAGCGATTCACCCCAGGGTTAAGGGACAGGTTTCTCCTAGTCTAGTAGTAGTATTCAATGTTTCGAAGGAACATCACTGATTAAAATCTTGGTAAATAAGTTGTGGAACGTTTTCACCAACAAAAATAACTGTTGTCGTCACCATAATACTCAAAATAGTAGCTAGATAACGCACAAATAAAAGTTCCGCAAACTGACTATATTGTCAGTATAGGATTGTAGAGATTAAGTTTCACTGAAATCATGGACAAATGAATGTTAGACCATCATTAAAAATTTGGAATCACTGGACGGCCGTTTAGTCCTATATGAAACCCAGCAATGCGCACTCACGGCCCCTCGCATGCAGAAACCAGAATCAGGACCTTTGGTCTCGAGCGCCAATACTTAACCTCTAAACCTCTGAGCCGGCATGTAATGATTATTGTGTCCATAAGTGTAAACATTAGAACGGTCCATTCCAAGATATCAGAAGATTTGACTGTTGTGGCAGAATTCATTACCAACATGGTTATGTACACACATAAATTAGTACTAACATTTTAATAGTTGAAAATAGCACGTTCATAAGTAAGAAGTAACGTGCGCGGAAACTAAATAAACAGACTAAATATGACAGAAACAGTACTTACCATTCACTTTCTCCAGTTATTTGACCCTGAGGACCACGTGTAGGAGCAAATCGCTTGTCACGACGTTTGCCACGATAGTGAGTACGTTCTCGTCGAGGTAACCAACGATTAGGATCAGGCATAACTCCTGGTTGATAATTCTTTGGCAGGCGAACCTTCCTCTTTTTACGCTTAGGACGTGAAATAACCGGTTGCGCACCAGGATCTTCTGAGGAAGGAATGCTGATAAACAAAATAAAAATTTAGAATTACGGTAGTACACAATTAGTATGCATAAGAGCAAGGAATCCTATGTTTGGTAGCTTTAAAAATCTCTGATCATCCAATCGAAACTTCATGAACTTAATCTTTAGTATATCGAAGTTATTCAGCACATTCAACCGCAGCTTACTGTAAAACAATGTTGAACAATAAATTAATTACTAGGTCAATAACGAACGCTTACTCAGCTTTTCTAATGACAAGTTATATATTTCTAGTATCACTCACTTTTGAAGTAACTAGTAGAGCATTGACTTGCATAATTATTCAACAGATTTGGCTCACCTTAGTCATCCACGAAAGACTTATCTATATAAAATATAACTCAAGGATTTCTATAACAGCTCTTGAGTACCACACTGTATACTTTGGAGCTTATTTTTAATATTAATATTTGATGTAAATTTCCGGGGCGATTCGATTTTTTCCACACATAATCATGCTTTATTTCTGAATGTAATCAGCATTTTAGCGAGTTAATAAAGCTAATAGACAGTAATATAGATGAAAATAGTTCAAACGTGACCGTCCTAAATATTGAGTTCAATAATAAACAACTTATCCCGAAACTGAAATGAGGATTTTAATTAGGAAACAAACTTTACATTAAAGTTCTGTTGCTGAAGAAATAAGAAACAATTAGCAGAGTTGCAAAGTAGTAGATAAGTTTGAAACTTCACAGCAACTCATTCTTCCATTGGATTAGGCATTGATATATATTCACTGGTGAAATAGAAAAAATTTCCTACATTTTTTCGACTTGGTAATTAGATAGGTTTTCACATCGTATTTTCCCTTCAATGATCACAGACAGTTTCAAAAATTCGTAAAATTAATCTCTAGGCTCTAAACGACTTTTTTATCAGCTCAAGAAAAGATTTGATAAAATAAATTGAAACAGTTGTTTCTTGTCAATTTACTCGTTAACTCCATAATGTATAAATGACCAATTCTCACGAGCTGACAGTTTGTGCATTGATTGAATTTATTGTTCAAAAGAAATTTTAAGGTAACCAAACCAAGAATATTTTATGAAGATTGTCTAAAATTCACAATTACTTACAAGTAAATATTCTCAAGAATAACTCTGGAACACTACACTACCCAATATTGGTCATGCAATTAGCACTAACTGGTCATAAAGTAATTAACTGCCTTGAGTATGCCAAGATTTTAGATATATAGTTTTTAAATGAATACATAAGTATAAACACTTACTCAGAAATGCTTTTTTTAATTTGGCTTCTTTTTGATTTGCCTTTGTCTGAAGTATCTGTAGGTTCACTAGGTTTGCCAAGCCGTTTTAAGGACTTTGCTCCGTATAAAAACGTAGTTTCCAACGTATCTACATCAGCCTCTGAGAGGGATTCTTTAGCTTGTAATGATTTACAGGTTTGTTCAGCCTTAGGACGATCAAACTGTGCATAGGCACGCACCAACCGAGCTACCAGTACTTGTTTAATCAAACTGTTTTGTTTTTCTTGACAAATGTTTGATTCAAGTCGGGCTAATTGTTTTTCAAGAAGTTCGGCCGCAAGTTTTGCCTCACCTTGTTGCAGAAGAAACGCAGCACAATTATCCAACAAATGGGAATAGATTTCATTCTGGAGACATCCATCCAGAATTCGAGTCGTATAAAAGTATCCACCAAAGAAGTCCAACAAATGGAAAAATTAATAAAAGTTAAAATTAAATTGAAATGTCTTACTATTGATAACAAAAATAAATAGTTCAGTTGAAACGATGTTTTCCGATATTTGACAGAGTACTCAAATAGGTGCGAATGATGGGCTTTAAAGCCAGTAAAACAATAATTAAGGATTCTACGTTACACAAGTAGATGCGACCACATTCATCCAGAGTTGTAAGGATATTTAAATGAAGTTTAAGTCATGAGAATAAAAACCAATAGTTCAAATAATATCACTCTAATCCACTTTGTTTTCACCCACAATAATAAAACTTTTCGAGTCGCATTTAGACTGTTGTGAACTCAATAACTAATGTATAAAATAATATGAAGTACAACAATCAAATCATAAAAGACGAAGAATGACGAACTATGAATACACTTAGTACTAAACTTTCTAATATTCAAGTTTTACCCATTTTTTTTTTACAAGAATATCAGAAGTAGAAGACAAAGTATTAAAGTTCAGACTAGAAAATATCAATAAGTTGATTCAGAAATTATCTTCTATTCACTAGACATAGGAAAGAGAATTACCTGTTCTCCTAACTCTTCATAATAATGAAGGGTTGATTCAATACAATTGACTATTTGTTTCATGCTATCAGGACGCGTCTGTACAGCATTTTCACCAGAGCTTGCTAAAAGATATAAAGCGATGCGTGTTGACAAAACACCGGGAGAATGAATTAAGTGCTGGGGAAGAATGTTTTCAAGCATTTGAGCTACATTTAATGCATTTTTAGGTTGAGGACTACCAGTCCCCAAATTATTTGCAGATGTTCGGCGAAGATTTAATTGGGCCAAAGCTAAAGGGATTTCTGCATCTATCTGACTACCAGCAAAATTGGATAAATAACTCTAAAGGCAAAACAACAAGATTTCAGTGAAAATATGTGTAGAAATCAGTATTAGCACTTATGATGTCTAGTTTGACATTAATTTTAAATTGAAGAACATATTGTGTCTAAGTTACTAAGAATAGATGTTACATAATTTTATTGCCCAGAAATCTTTCTTTACCCTAAAATTTGACCAGAAGTTGACGAAAATATTTTTTGAAACAGCTAATTCGAAATCTTAAAACACGTACAAAAACCCATAGAGATTTGTAAAATAGCACTCTTATTGACTGATAACCACAGCAACACCAAATAACTCGGCAAATATACTTCCAATCGTACTATTATTAGTAGTAGCATCCAATACACATATTCAGTAGACCAGTCAGAAGTGATAGTCCTCACTCTTCACTTAGTAATTTGATCCCTAGACTTAGACAAATAATAAAATGGCATTATTCGTAGTAGGCCACAGGCAATTAATTTTTAAGCTGTCGTTTACTTATTGACATTGTACGCCTTTCCTTTTCCCAATATCTCAATATCACTTTCTTATTTGAGCGAAGTATTTATCTTTAATGCCTAATTGTACCAGTATTCATGTATTTTTTTAATAAGTGTACCTTGGAATATGTTCCTAATAGATACTTAAGTGAGAGCTATTCTTTGTGTTTGTCACTGCACTTTAACTAAATAGTAATAATTCACCGTAAAAACCACCAGAAGTACCTCTTTTATGTGCTAATTTCCACACTACTTCAATAATATGTGAGGCTGAAAAAATACATGTAATAATAAAACTTGAAATGGGGATCTTCATATCAAAGATTTTTCACTTTATCTGTTTGATTAGAATTCAGTAGTCAAACGAAATCTGTTTCATCATTTGCTTTCATAACACAAATGTAGTTTATTCTTATTGAATCTAGACCTGAAAGTACTGATGACAGTGTAAATAAAAGTATCATGTGATTGAGGGAAAACTAGGATATGCCAAGTAATGGAATGTTTCAGGATCATTTAGTTATCCGATTAACTAGAAACCAAAAATGTCAATGCAATAGACTTAAGTTCGATTTTTATTTAAGCCGTTACATACAAAAAAAACTATTTCGTATAGATAGTCAGTATAAATCCACTTTAGTTACGATTTTCACTACACTATACATGAAGTAAGTATTTGGCACGTTTGTAGTTAAATCCTTTATTTTCAAAACATTTTGTGAAAAAAAGTCCGCCAAAAATAGATGAAAGTCTAAAGGATATGAATGAAATGCTACATGCAACTTTAGATTTATGGAACAAAACAGACTATCTTAACAACTGATTTAAGAAGAGTAACATGACGACTTACTTCCAGGAGTAAAACTGCTTTATCAACATTCTTCTCTTTAATTAACTGAGTAGCCGATAAAAGCAAAGCCCGCGGACTTAACTCCTCTTGTGAAACTGTACGCAGTTTTGCGGTACAAGCTTCCATCTGTATAAAAATTCAATAAATTATTTTGGAATTTTGCTTTATGAAACTAAAATAAAAAAATTACATTTCTAAAATACGTTAACATTGAAAGAATAACTGCTGAATGCGTAATGTGTGTAAATTAATACACCCAAACTAGTGCGATCTCCAGTGAGTATTGTGAGACGAAACACAATTATTGTACAGAATTAAGAGCTAATATTGTTCGAAGATAACAAGTTAAAGAAAAATAACCCTTAAGCTAGTGAAATGAATAAGCCCCACAGTTCACACCAATCTTAAAAATGAAGATATCTGTAAGTCATAAGTATACAGAACCTTGTGTATGATAGAACTGTAGTCTTTATACCCTGGGTTTTCAAACATGTAGCTTTATAATTTGGTCTTCAAGTCATAGCTATAAATGGTTCCATTAATTATCTCACAATGGACGTGCTGCGTTTGACTGTGATTCATTAACTATTCGCAACATTGTCCTGTGGTTCATCCAGAGTTGCTTTGGAACCGAAAAGTTTTAAAATAGTAAGATAAAGTCTCAGACAGATTACTTTGATTTTAAAACTGTTAAACAGTACCACGAATAGTAGTTAGACGGTTAAACATTCAACAATGAAACGACGGGGTTTCTGTTCGAAACTTACTGCAAATACTTCAGTTTAGGTTCCCACTAGCCTTAATATGAAGTGTTGCTTAAACTCCAGTATATGTTCATGTATCTGGTATCTGAGTTCTAGAATTCAAATTAACCCAAATAACTTATTATTTATTCATTTGAATAAATATTGGTACAAACGGGTACCGAATACATATGCGTCACACAAGTCACCTGATTTGTGTGGAGGCTGTGATAATACCCGGGTGCCCAAACCGAAGCAGGTGGTTTTCTTAGAGGCCACACCCGGAGTCTTCGAATAAAAGGTATGATCCACAAAACAGTGGAGCAACGTCAGGAGATGAAGTCCCATGGTAGCCAGTGACCAACAATAGATTCATATGCTATTTGTTCCCTCAGGATGCTGGAACCCATGTACACCATTGGTTTGGAATCAGGGTTTTCCCACTCCCCCTAGGTGGACCCTACGTGTCCGCCAACCCGGTTAAAGCGCCGGACATTCGCTTTTCATTCTGTCAATTTCGTAAACAACACCACAGACGTGAGAAGGCAGTAAGACATCCCTGGCAGTAACTGTACGCGTGGCCATGTGGGAGCATTTCGAGAGAGAGAGAGAGAGCTGGCTCTTCCCACTCTCGGCCGTACAAGGGCATTCGGGAGCAAAAAATAATAACACTAACACTTGAATTTTTGAGACAAGCTGTTTTCTTTAATGAAAATCTGTCAATGATTATTCTACGCGAAATGGAAGACAGAGAAAAACAACACGAATAAAATCACTAGGTGTTTTCAAATCACGTTGCATCATCGCATTTGTATTACATAAATGCATGAACTCAATAGATATATTTCTGCATACAGCTTTAATAGCACAACTTCCTTTGAATATGAGGTAATATTTCTAAATATAGTGGTCATATATCACAAACACTTTACTGCTACTGCATCCTAGGACAATAAACAGTTCATACACTCCCTTAGAATTACACTTATTGCATAGTCTTTCATCACCACATTAGCAGCTTAAGGTTTCACAGCTTTATCATAAATTCTGGGAACCAAATATTTAGCTAAAAAAAATAAACTAGTTTATCGTGATAGGAATAGCGAATCACCAAGTCAATGTAGTAACTATGAAATAATACGGGATTTCGAAAGTAAATAAACTCATGTTGTTTATTTTCTTGCTAGAAGGCTGAATCACTATTTTTAATCATCTATCATATTTGACAGAAAATCCAAACCACAAGTGGAAAAATTCTTTATTGCTCCTTAGTGTTTTACGTAGTTCGAACACTTAAAATATGTAACACTGCTTGAAGTCAAGAGCTACCATCCAGAAAAGCTAAAGGTTCTGAACAAATCAGGAAATGTGGGGGGAAAAACACGTCCGAGTTATTTTAGAAGTCTACAAATGTACTTATTAACCGAAAACTTACTTGGTTCGTATACCAGTAAAACAAAGCTTGGTTGATAAGCATATCAGCACGTTGGCGGGAAAAAAGCTTAAATTGTAAACCATCTGTCGAAGCCATCTTAATACGTTTACGGCTGTCGAATATATTTTGATCCTGATTGATACAGACAATATTGTTGGCAGCCACTGCTAAAAGGGCAGGATCTGAAGCTCTGGTTCAAAATAAACAGAAAGAAAAAAAAACGTGACTGAGGTATGAGCGTATATCAAAATAATAAAGCATTCAAAATTATTAGCTAAAATGGATGCAATATAAACCAGTGAAGACAAAAAGTATTTATTAGTAAATTTCTTAAGAAAAAAAAACAAGGAAACAAAATATGAAGTCAACATGTGCCCCCAAATGCCCTGGTACGGTCGAGAGTGGGGAGAGTCTGCTCTCCCTCTCAAAATGCTCTCATATGGCCACGCGAATATATAGCCTCTGCCAGGGAAGTCCTACTCACTGCCTTCTCGTGGCGTGGGTGTTGTTCACAAAAGTGAGAGGACGAAAAGCGAATGTCCAGCGCTTTAACCGGGTTGGTGGATGTGGAGGATCCACCTAGGGGAGTTGGAAAACCCTGATTCCAAACCAATGATGCACATGGGCTCCAGTATCCTGATGGAACGAATGGTGAATGAACCTTCTGCTGGTCACCGGCTACCATGGGACTACATCTCCTCACGATGCTCCACTGCCTTGTGAGTTAGACCTCTGGGTCAAAGGCTCGGGGTGTGGCCCCCTAAGAAAACCACCTGCTTCGGTTTGGGCACCCGGGCAGTGTCACAGCCCACACACAAATAAATGAAATGATGAATTCTATTGACGATACTATTCTCGCTCATATTGGAAGCAAGACAATTTACACTATTATTATTATTATTTACTACGTCGCTTTTTCACTCCCTTTATTCCCAAATTGTGTATCCTTCCTTTCCAACTTATGCAGTAGCTCGCCCATGGTGGTAACTCTGTCCTATCTAAACGATCTCCAGTCACTGTTTGGTTGAAAGTGAATGCTTCCACCGATTACGAATACTGAAGCAGTCTTTCTGAAACCACGTACGCCGTTCAAGCTGGCTTCCTTCAACGTTCGCACACTAATGCAGATGGGACAACAGATGAGGCTGGCTATGTCTTTAGAAAGTCTTAATAATGACGTTTGCTGTCTATCCGAGACCCGTATTCAAGACTCTATTGAAGTACTACAAATTCGCTCACCATCTGTCGCTTCGAAAAGCTTGTTTCACGTGCGCTTATACGGGGACTCTGTGGCATCTTCGTCTGGTCTTGCAGGCGTTGCTTTTGCACTAAGCGCTAAGGCTGAGGCAGCACTAATCGATTGGATCCCCAATAACAGTCGGTTATGTGCTGTTAGATTAGAAAGTTCCATCAAAGTGAGAAGAAATCGGCGTGAGAAACGGTATCTTTTCGTCATCTACGCCTATGCCCCGACAGATTGCAGTCCGGATGCAATCAAGGAGTCTGATCATGCCCTGGTCTGCGCCAATCTCACCTTACTTTTCAGTGGCCGAAGGATTGACCACCATCAACGGATTGATGTTAGTAAACTGGCTGCAACTTCTGTTGCAAGTAAGTATCGAGCGGAGCTAGCCTCTAGGCTAGCTAACACCCCACCGAAAAGTATAGATGAGCATTGGTTGCTTCTTCACGACGCCATGAAAATGGCGAGTAAAGCCGCTTGCGGCTTCGCGAAACGTCCCGCTTACAAGCACTGGGTCTCTTCTGGCTCCTTACAACTGATGGAAGCCCGTCAGTCTACTCCGGGTGACCGTGAGTTTGACCACAAACGAAGGCTGTTACGTAATGAAATCGGGCAAAGCTTGCGTAAGGACCGAGAAGCCTGGTGGTCGGAGCGTGCTAATGAGATGGAAGCAGCAGCTGCATCTGGTAACTGCCGGAAGCTCTTCCAACTCATCCGAGCCACTGGCAGCAAGAAGTCTGGTGTGAGTGAAACAATCTACGAGGATGACGGGATGCCAATCACTAACATCTCTCGACGTCTTGGACGATGGGCGGAATTCTTCGAAGGGCAGTTCAACTGGCCTGCTGCTCCGGCAACATCAACCAGCTTGTCCTGCCCCCCATGGCCGGTGACGACTGATCCACCTAACGAAGCGGAAGTCCGCAAGGAACTCCAACTCTTGAAGCGCTACAAATCACCTGGCCCAGATGACTTACCTCCGGCTCTTTTTAAAGATGGTGGTGACTTTCTCGCTAAGGAACTGACGGTGTTGTTTTCAAAGGTTTGGGAGCAAGAAAGTGTTCCAACATCATGGAATGAGTCAATAATCGTCCTTATCTTTAAAAAGGGTTCACGTTGTTCCTGTAACAACTATCGGGGGATAAGTCTACTTCCGATTGCGTCCAAACTATTGGCTTCTGTCATTCTTCGTAGGTTGTTTAAAACCCGAGAACGATAGACTCGCGAGGAGCAGGCTGGTTTTCGTTCTGGTCGAGGATGCATTGATCACATCTTCACCCTCCGCCAAATGTTAGAACACCGTCATACTTATCGCAGGCCAACAATCGTAGTGTTTCTTGATATCAGAGCTGCCTTCGATTCGTTGGACAGGACTGTTCTCTGGGATTGTCTATTGAAGAAGGGTGTGCCTGAGAAGTTCATTAACATCTTAAAGGCCCTGTATACGAACACCTCAGGCAGAATGAGGGCATACAACCACCTTTCTCCCTTGTTCCATTCGAGCAGTGGGGTTAGGCAGGGTTGCCCAATCTCACCATTCCTCTTCAACTCTGCCATCGACGACATCCTGGAAACAGCTCTGATGGATGTAAGTAATGGCGGTGTGGATATGTTGCCTGGAGAACGACTTCTCGACCTTCAGTATGTGGATGATATTGTCTTACTGTGCGATAATGCCCAAGGCATGCAATCCGCACTTAATCAGTTGGCAATCAATGTCCGCAGGTACGGCATGTGCTTTGCACCCTCCAAGTGCAAAGTACTCCTACAAGACTGGCAGGATTCTCATCCTGCACTCACCCTAGATGGTGAGCAGACTGAAATAGTTGAGAAGTTCGTGTATCTAGGTAGCTACATAAGTGCTGATGGTGGCGTGAGTGATGAGATTGATGCACGTATAATGAAAGCCAGAGCGGCTTATGCCAATCTGGGCCATCTTTGGCGCCTTCGTGATGTTAGTCTGGCTGTAAAAGGTCGGATCTACAACGCATCGGTGAGAGCAGTTTTGCTCTATGCTTGTGAAACCTGGCCTCCGAGTTGAGGATGTTAGACGTCTCTCTGTGTTCGATCATCGTTGTCTCCGAAGGACTGCTGACATACAGTGGCAACACCATGTTAGTAATGCAGAGGTTCGGCATCGTGTATTCGGGCGCAGAGACGATAATTCAATTGGTGTCACCATCTTGAAACACCGACTTCGGTGGCTTGGACATGATTTACGAATGTCGTCTCAGAGACTTCCACGCCGTGCATTATTTGCCGACTCTGGGACTGGTTGGAAAAAGCGGGGAGGTGGTTAGTGTATGACATGGTGTCGTGGCATGAAAGAAAGCTGCAAAGGACTAGCTTCTGTTGGTCCTTCACGACTCCCTGGCTGGGGTCCGAGAGATGGTGCAACACAGTGGCTAGAGACGTTATCAGATATGGCTCAGAATAGAAACCAGTGGCGATCCTGCTGCAACCTTCTTTTACTTTCTACATAAAGAGTGTTTATAACTTTCTTAACTGAAAGAGTCTTCTGGTTGTACATTTCAGTCCGCCTTATCTTTTCATCCCTTCACTTCCTACTTTCATTATTTTGTGTGGCGCATATGTATCTGGTGCCCTTTTGTACCAATATATGTGTTTAAATAAATAATAAATAAATAGAAAAACTCAACACCTATAAAATATTTGTGAAATATATATGTCCTATACCATTTGTTAAGCGACTTTGAATAATACGTACCACTGTTTCAGGTTTTATGCTGATGGTGTCCGCTTTTATGGTTTCCAGTTATCAGGAACTCATGTATGGAGTCCAAGTAACAAGGAAATACAGTACAAAAGTATAGGTAACGAAATAAAGCAGTGAAGCACTATATTATCAATTCCTAAACAGTGAGATTAAACGTTAATTAGCCGTTATTATGAGTGAACCATAAACTTATCGTTATCATGAAACAAAGGACAATGTTTAATATATGGTATATAATCCATGTTCAAACTTATAAACCGAAAATCACATCCTCAAATCCCAACCGCGGCTGCTACCTTGATGTCTTAATCGGAATAGTCAACTAAAATGACCCGGACAAAAAATATTAGCTGGAAAACTTGCTCCTTTAGGCCCTATATTGCCAGGCCCCCAAATGCCCTGGTACGGTCGAGAGTGGGGAGAGTCTGCTCTCCCTCTCAAAATGCTCTCATATGGCCACGCGAATATATAGCCTCTGCCAGGGAAGTCCTACTCACTGCCTTCTCGTGGCGGGGGTGTTGTTCACAAAAGTGAGAGGACGAAAAGCGAATGTCCAGCGCTTTAACCGGGTTGGTGGATGTGGAGGATCCACCTAGGGGAGTTGGAAAACCCTGATTCCAAACCAATGATGCACATGGGCTCCAGTATCCTGATGGAACGAATGGTGAATGAACCTTCTGCTGGTCACCGGCTACCATGGGACTACATCTCCTCACGATGCTCCACTGCCTTGTGGAATAGACCTTTAGGTCCAAGGCTCGGGGTGTGGCCCCCTAAGAAAACCACCTGCTCCAGTTTGGACACCTGGGCAGTATCACAGCCCTCACACAAATCGAATGAGATTTGTGTGGCGCATATTTATCTGGTGCTTCCTTGTACCAATATTTATGTGTTTAAATAAATAAAATAAACTATATTGCCAGACAGGTCGGTTGGATAACAGAGATATTTAAAGCAAAAACTTAAAGACTTGGTGCTAACTATATTGGGGTAGGACAGAAGCAAGTTATTTCTCTCATATAACTAACATCTACAACGATGTTTTCTCCCCACAAAAGCATTGACTTAGAAAGAATCATCACCAAAAATAACATATTTAACCTTCGGCGACAGATCCCCACCCCCGGCAACAAGGTTTTAAAAATACAGAGTCAGTACATTGAGAATCACCCAGAAAAAGGCTATGTATGGCCGATGACAAGTCAGTTCACGGACTATACGGTTATGCTCACAGGTCGACAAAATTATTACGAGTCTAGTTTTATTTCTAAATACCTTTAGAAGTATCTCTCTACAGTGTGGTCAGCTGAGTGATGACCACCCACAAACCTCTGAAAGCAATTGAGATTACCTTGTTTGAGATTTCATCTCTCTGTCACTTCACAATAGTTGTACTGTCTTTACTATCAACTCCTTTGCGAAGACTTCATATTTAACCCCACGCTACATCAGTGCTAACGATTTAAGTGAACGAAATGCTATTCCTGGACTTTTGAAACTGCATTTTAAACCGTATGTTGGGGCTTTCAATGTTTGAGCCTTATATTAACTCTGACAATATACTTCATTAGCTGGGAATCTAGAATTTCTTCCAACTAACAAGTGCTACATCTGTGAAACTTGAGTACAGGGTGCACTTACGGTAACTTAGCCTAACTCATTCAATATGATAAAGCGTTACGATTTACCCACTGTGTACCTAAGGTCTTGACTACTACTCCTCGCGGCCTTACTGGTGTAGGTAAAACACTAAGTACAAATCCACAACATGATCTCTTGGACTAAGTTTCGAAGGACAATTGCTTTTGCGCTGCCCGATCTAATTGGACAGCAAGTACTTGGTAAGATGTGGACACATCTTGTTTCCTCTGCATTATCTCTGCCTACAATCACAACAACTGCAATACGGAGGAATCAAAAATATGAGTTTTACAAAACGCTTTTAATCCACATTTGAAAGGTGAGACCCTCAGATGCAACTATTGTAGGCGATTTTAATGCCCAAGTAGGTAGTCGAAACTTAAGTGAAGGACATTTAAATGAATCTTATGATGTCCCAACTTGACGATAACAGCGACTGCTTACTGAAATGTCGTTCAGATAACCGATTTTCTTAGTAAGTAATAACTTAAGGCACAAAAAAGACATCATCTGACATGACGGTCCTCGACGTCGACCCAACGGTAGATGAGAATAGATAATATCTACCGTCCAGCGTTGAAAAATCTTGACAGAATGCCATTGCTCTTTCTGGAGCGTATGTTTAGATTTTGATCATGCTCTAGTGAGAGAACTTGTTTACTTGCGTCTTGATGGACGCAGAAAAGTCATAACAAGAAGAATCCTTAGAGTTTACCTTAACGATATGTTACAATGACTAGAGAACCCTTTCTAATCAATCATGAAAATGTTGTTAACTTCAGGATGACTTAGCCCGACAACTCATTAGTCAGTCAGTCACAATCAAAGTAGTGCCTTGCACAAATGTGCACTGACCCCACTGGCAGCAAAATAGGGGTAATATCTATTGGTGATTTAGACCAAAACGCCAAGAAAGACTGATGGGTTTTGCTGATATCTACTGAACTGATAGGTGACCGGAAATTCATCCCATCAAGTTCCAAACACGATAAGCAGCAAGAGTAAATTAAGCGTATATTGACAAATATTCTACGCAATGATACTGGGAAGCAGAGGAAGCGGAGGAAAAAAAGGAGAGAGAAAAGATATATGCGATGGGTAATTGTAGAATACTTTTCAGATTTATGGAAGGAACAAATATTAAAATGTCAGGTGCTAGTGCGACTGTATCTGAAACAGATAATTTTCTGGTCTAATCTCAGTTCACAGGGTTGCAATAATGGTCGCAACACTTTGAGAGACAGTTTAGCCAATCCTCAACTACCCCTGAGTTGCTTTATACTACTAGATAACAAGAATGTCAGTCAGTCAGTCAGTCACAACGTAGAACTTCGTACGTACGTCAGTTCGAGATGCCATACCACATTAGCACAGAGATGCAGTTGTCGATTCAAATCCCATAGTGGTAGAAGTAGTAGGAGTATAATCATAAAATCCAAAAGATTAGGGTTTGAAGAAATTATTGAAGGAGTATAGTACAGTGAAATAAATTTGGAAAGAGAAAAAGGTAGAGGCATGAGGAATTCAGAAGATTAGAAGTTGGTAGAACACAAAGAGTGGATACACCTTAGCCATTGCAAACGATTTTGAGCCATGTCATTCAAGGTCTCTAACCATCGGTTGCTATCATCTCGCGAATCCCAACCAGATAGTCTACACCTACCAACATGGCTCAGTCCAACTGTCAGTGACTCCATGGATTTGTGCCACGTTTTGGTCTGGCCGTCCTTAGCTTTCTTCCAACCTACTCCTACACCATGAAACATTGCACGTCGGGGCAGTCGGTGGTTGGGCATACGTAACACATGTCCCAGCCATTTCAACTGATGAAGTTTCACTACTTCATCAATCGATTTGCCAGGAGTGAGCTATTAGCACATGCCCGAAACTGTTCATGAATTTGAAAAGGCTATAACTAGTCTAAGGCAATAGATAGCAGCAGGCCCTGATCCATTATTCCAGGAGAATGTTACGCTTGATGACCCAGTTTTAGCAGTTAGATAGGTTGCGATGATAGTTAGAGCCTTGGACGTAATTCAACTTGGTCGGTTTTGAAAAATGACAATTTATGTTTACAAAGAACTGGAACAACTTTGTAATATTCGTAGAGAAATCAGTTTAACTAGCATAATCACTAAGACATTAGTCTTAATTATCATCAGACCTGATTGATTCGTTTTTTGATGAAAATTCACCACGGATTAAGGAAGCTCAGTTGACTTCTGTCAACTTTCATCACATGTGCTGTAGGCCAGATGTCTATCCACCAACCAATGGGTAAATATACTGCACAGCAATCGTCTTTGTTACTTTACTGATGTGAAACATGGACTATGAAAATGAGAGATATGCTTACTTTGCAGATTTTTGATCAAAAGTGTCTTATAGGCATTTCGCGCTTACCGACCAAATGAACAATGCCGAGTTTGGACGTGAAGTTGAAATTGTCAATACTTATCGTCTTAAGTAATATGGGAGTCAATCTGAAGAAAGATATTGATGGTCAAAGCAGAACATAGCATCAGTTTATTAAGTCACTGGTTATTGGGCCTTGTTGACAGATACATACTAACTGGTTGAAGTCTGCGAGACAACTGCGATTAGTGCTTAGAGATTTTAGATGAAATGGCTTACAATCGTCAAACGTAGAGATGTATTCACTAAATGTCTTAGTATAGATCTTGAGTTCCAGTATTCCTTCATACATACCACTTTATTTCGTTTTCCCAAACCACATTTTAAACACTTTATCTCACATATTATCATTTTAATTATACTATTCCAGACCCTGCACTACTAATCTTTTTGATCCCATCCCACCGTGCTAACGTGTAATGGAAATTCAAGTCAGCTGACATTTATCCCAGGCATTACACTGACGACTAACTGATTAGTTGTACACAGTTCATTGTCATAAAGCATAACAAGTCCCATCAAAAATCTGCACAACCCGAGTTCATGCACAGAGGAGCAATTATTAATATAATATCGTTAATATGAACTAGATCATTAGCAGGATATGATTTATTATGAAGTAGAGTCGACAAAATCAAAATGGTCTTCTCTTTGAGATACGTAACTCCTCAATATAAATTAGAACAATTATCACATAAATTTTGATGTGCAGCTTGCTATCAACCATTTTTTTAATATTATCTCTTAATCGATAGCATTCTTAATTTAAAAAGCAATATTTAAGATCGGCATGAAGTAATGACAAATTTAAAACAACTATATTACCTTTGTCGAATGACAGATTGATACACCTGGTTCGCTTCTTCTTCCTCCTTATTGAGCTGCAAAATATAGGCCCGCTGAACTCTGAAAATAAAAATGTGCTTTGAAGATTAATCTTGGCTTACTGATGGTCTTGGAGAATAAAAATAATGGATATACGTTTTATAAGTATCATTAACTAAAAGTTATAACACCAATTTGGGAGCGTCAAAACGTTTGCAACAAGGAATATTCATGGGGAAAATTACCTCAAGTAATGAATTTTAGCAACCATTACATTTTGTAGATAAACCTCCGTCTGTCATTATTTCTTACTAAACATTACGATCCGAAATAACTATCGGGTAACAACATCAAATTATGCTGTCTACGTTATGTAAAGTTAGGTTGTCGAACCTTTCATATCCTGAAGTGTAACTTAATGTTGAGAATCGATAACGATGAGTAAATGTGATTGTAATGGTTAGGTGATATAAGTAAAAACCGATCACAGTAATGCGAATACATTCATTTTTTCTAAATGTTTAAAATACAGCATCCTAGTTTTATCCCCACAAGGAATCCGTTCTTCGCATACTTTAGGGCCCCATCAGTTTTATTACTTAAGCTTCTTCACTTGTTTATTTTTTTGAATTTCGAAAAGAATCGTGAGTTTGGATAGTAGCACATTTAAAACAAGTCTTACATTTTAGTCCAACTAGTATATATATATATATATATATGTCCAGGAGCAGACTTTCACTTAAGATAAATGATTTTCCTTCATCGGACATGGCATGATCTTTTTTGTAAGACATAATTCACTCAATACCCCCGGATATGAATAAACAGAAAATTTGACCAGCCTATTTGAACACTGCTCTCTGAAGCACCACCTGACTGACTGAACATAAATTTACTTGTAGACTGAGGACGAAACATCGTTTTTCACACTAGTACTAAAAGACGTTGAAGAAGTGCTTTATTTTGAAAAATGTTTCACTTTTTTCAACTTTTTTGCTAAATATAGTCCAGTCGGAACGTTTCATTATCCAGGATTTTAAAAATTAAAGCAACAAAGTGGATTTACTTATCTTAAAAAAACCTTAAACAGAAGTAAAAAGATGATTTGGGTTTTTGTACCTTATAGGAGCTAACTCTTCATTCCTCTCCTCTTCAGTTAATTCCGGGTCTTCAGAGAGACATAAATTACAAGTATCTATGGCAATTAATTATTAGTTAAGTATCATACTTTCAGAATCATCTAACAATCTGGATGCGAGATGACAGTCACCACGTCCAAGATGATAACATGCCAAATTAAACTTTCCTTCATACATTTGTGGGTTAACATCTAAGTCCTTTAAAAAATAAAGATTATAACCAATTTATCCTTACTAGATTAGCGTTATTAAAGCATGATTCAGCAGCAGCCACTGCCGTTAGATTTGCAAGCCGTTCTTCACTATAATCATCCTAGAAGAGAATAACGAATAAGGTGAACAACTAACTTGAGAATTACGAATCACTGTCCGTAAGTATGCGTATGCACCAGCAAAATCACCTTTTCTGTACAACTAGAGAAAATGAAGATCGAAGAGATGAAGAATACTTACCACTTGTGCTTTAAGTTCCTGAACTTTTGAATCGCTTGCCTCGGCTGATTCAAGAGTTTTTGCGGCTTCCGTGAGACGATTAAGTCTATATTCAACGTAAGCTTTCTCAAAGATGACATGACTGAAATAAACAAAACAGTGCTGAGCAGAATAACATACCTAGATAGTGTTGGGTTTTTTTTCAAAAAACTCAAACAATCTTCGTATTTTTCGGCTCGAATAAGGGCAACAACCTTGCACTGAAAAGCTTTCGTTTCACCAGGAAACTTTGTCAGAACTACAAGGAAAATATTACGTAGGTGCTTAAATATTTTTCTGTAAACCAAATTTCATACTTAGTGGGAAACCCAGAACATCCCACTAAGGTTATATTGATACTTAGATTTTAATCGAAGTCCATGTGCAAGAAATTATTTCACTGCAGGTGTTTAGCAAATGATATGATTAAGTCCAGTAAAAGCGGTAATAACATCTAAATAAGGAAGTGAAATGGCCTTAAAGTGCAAAGCAAAAGTTTGAAATTAAACAGTTAGAGACTGGAACTCTTCAGAAATAACTAATTTTAGTTTATTCTCAGAACCTAATAACTGAGAATCTATGTTTAGGAACCACTACTCCAAAAATACCCCTTACATAACGATAAACAAGCGACCAACTAAAAAGTGGCAGTTGAGAAATGTTCTAGGGTGGGAATGTTGGAGATTTACTTGTACTAAAATTTCCTCTGAAATAATAAAAACCAGCGTGAAGCACAAACATTCCTGTAGCAAGATAAAGCACGACATTGCCGAATTCAAACTCACTTTTCCCAGAAATATTTATAATCTTATCATACGCTTGAGCACTACACGCCTTGTTGAGATCTGAATAAGCAGACTGAAGATTAAAAGCCTTATCGTTTGCCATTTGCAAACGTGTCAAGTTACGCACACTCCATATAACGCGCTCTTTAGGTTTGACTGGGGCCTTTAAATGGTTCAAATGTTTTCAGTCTTCAGTACTATAGACGGGAGGTCTATCGATCTGTATTAATCCTTGAAGTTTGTTACACTTTGAATGTCTACTCTCTTGTTGGAATTCATTTCTAGTGAACACCCGTCCATCCATGCAACCAAAAACCTGAGATCATCCTGTAATACTATTCTATCTGAAATGATGTATATGAATCTCCAAATCTTTCTGACATCGACGAAAAGTAGAACGGACGACGTTTGTCGGTTCTGATGCTCCTCTTCACTTGCTTGTTTGCCTCTGTGTATTCGGCTTGTGCCTTGGCTTTTTCTGCTCTGGTTCGGCTGATATTGATTGCTGCCTTCTTGTTCCTCCTTTCTTCAATTTTATCCAGTGAACCAACAGTACCACACTCGCCTCTTATATGTCACGGATGTGACTACGAAAGTTCGCTACCTCGTCGATACCGGTGCAGGAGTTAGCGTTCTTCCAGCAAATCTCAACGACAGACTTCGCGAGTCTGTTTTCAGTTTACAGGCGGCAAACGGAAAGCCGTTCGCTACTTACGGTAAAAGGTACGTCTACCTTAACGTGGGTTTACGCAAACCCATACACTGAAATTTCGTGGTTGCAAATGTCTCTATGCCAATCATTGGTATAGTTCTGTTACAATACCACAATCTACTAATCGACACACGCTCACGAAAGTTAATAGACGGAAACACTAAGTTAACTGTTTGCGTAACTCTTTGTTCTGGTTGCAACAAAGCAACCAGTCACAACTAAGCACGCCATAGACCCCCTATAAAAATAATCACTTGACAAATACCCCAGGATATACCAACCGCAACCAAAATTGCCCTGTGTAACCAGCAAACCTTCCAAAGGTTCATAGATGACGTCTTCCGAGGTCTCAAATTCGTACATGCGTATGTTGATGCAGAACGTTTTTGCTGGCCTGGCATGAATAAAGACGTGAGGGAGTGGGCACGCTCCATGTTCATCTGGCTTTTGGTAGTACCCTTACCCGATTACAACGGATACGCATATCTCTTAACATGCGTAGACCGTTTAACTTGATGGCCAGGAGCAGTACCGACTTAGGACATAACTGCTGAAACTGTGGCTCGCGCTTTCGTCGAACGATGGGTAGCTAATTTCGGCTGCCCTTCAACAATCACTACAGACCGCGGACGCCAGTTCGAATCTGGACTTTTCCGTTGTCTGACCTCACTATTAGAAATCACTCGCTTCCGAACGATCGCCTACCACCCACAAGCAAACGGGTTGGTAGAACGCTTTCATCGACAATTAAAAGCTTCATTATCAGCTTCAAACGTTTCACAGTGAACAGACGCTCTTCCATTCGTCTTGCCAGGTATCTGCAATGCAGTGAAAGATGAAATTGGATACACTGAATCTCAACTCGTCTACGGAACGACAATCCGACTTCCAGGAGAATTCGTGGATCCTTCAGCTTCTTCATTGAACATGGATCTAAACTCTTACACGAGTAGGCTTACAAACGCTATGCGTTCAGTTAAACCTGCTCACACTCGACCTCAATCAACTGATGTTTTCGTTCAACCTGAATTACGACATAGTACACACGTCTTCGTTCGTCGAGACTCACATCAACGACCGCTCGAATCAGCATACGAAGGACCCTTCAAAGTTCTTCAACGTGAACCCAAGTACTATGTAGTCGATAAGAACGGCACGAACGACAGCATCAGTATCGATCGCTTAAAAGCAGCGTACTTAGAAGGAAACCATCGCTACGTCGAATTTCCTTCGCTACAATTGTACGACACGGCTCCCACACTCGAAATACCCCACACGACAGCCGATAAACAACTTGATACTTCGTCAACTTCGATAGATAAACCTAAAACAACGCGTTCTGGAAGACGAGTAAGATTTCCAGAACATCTAAACGACCATTGCACGTAGGACACAAACTTAATCTCGAATTCCCTTTCCATTATTTATTATAAAAAACAATTTTTTAATATGCTCATTTTTTATTTATTTAAAAAAAAACCTTTTTGAGCGTATTTATATTTTTTATGTATAAAAAAGACCCAAAAAACCTTTTTTTTTCCCCGATCGCTTTTACGCTGTTGCAAGTGTATTTACCTTGTTTTTTTCCCGCCCATCTTGTGTCCTTACGCAAGTACGAGTGTATTTTCGACATGCACTAACGCGTTCTATTTTTTTCTCTTTTCCAGGACGGCTGGAAAAGAACGACGAAGTCTCGCAAGGAACCGAAATTTTTCATTGTACTTTATTTCTTTATTGCTATGTTGACATTTTGGTCCCTTAGTATAAGGAAAGACGACCAGACGCTGCTAAACGAAGCAAGCTATCAGAAGAGTGTTTACCAACGACAAACTCGTTGGGTTTAAACTTCTGGCTGGTCACGTCTTAGGGGCATCACTACCTCACTAGGGAGGGGAGTGATCTGTAGCTGTAAATAATTCCCTAAAATCAATAGCTTTCTATGTGTTCGACATTGGATGCTGACCACGTTGTTTAAGTGGACTTGTTTAACTGAAGGCTTTCGGTCATGCATCCGTACCAGATCACTTTGCAACTCGGCGTGGGACACAGCTCCTACGTTTCAATAGCTAGCCAAAAACAAACGCCTCTCGATATAACTGGATATGAACTGTTCTAAGCCGGTAGAGATGAACATATTCTAGTGTTTTTTCCTACGTCCAAGAGTTTCTTGACTTATTTAGTTATCCATGGTGGACTATTATTCGGTCTAGGTGGTACCAAGTATGGTATGAACGAGGACGTGACTGAACCAAACTTACCCCTAAATATAGACAATGCTTCTTCAACTGATGAGCTAGTATCTGCTGTCCAATCCGTCTTATCAGCATACACCTGAATAGCCGATATGTTAGCTCTCCATACATTTGGGCGAGGCTTAACCTGATCGTAAATCATGTCACTAGCTCAAAACGTAAATGACAAAACAGCGTGATCGCTATTCACTAACGATGGAAGAATATTTAGGTTGGCAATGTCCTCAATCGCATGAATGATTACCAAGTCCAACAGAGAATCTTGATTTGAAACCAAAACGTGTGGGTTTGAATACATGCTGTACTAACACATGCTCCATTTACTGTTACCAGGTATCAACTATCAAAGGAGTTTATGGCCCCTTCCGTGGTCATCTCAGTCCAACTAGTATGAGGTGCATTAAAGTCTCCTAATATCAAACATCAAGCATAACGGAATGTTCTCTAAAAAAATCGTCAACTAAGCAGGTTAGTATGCGATAGATGACACAGAGTAAAAAAAATGTACAACATCCGATGGTGAGCTCACAACTAATGACCTCACAAGTTCCACTATCATGGGATTAGCAAACGGAGGAGCGTATTACTTGCTATGTATAAAAAGACACCACCATCTTTCCTGCATCTATGTCTATAACTTCTGAGGTAATGGTATCCGGATTATTCTGGAGTAATGTCGAAGTCATGGACTAACCAAATTTCCGTCGCGCCTAAAATGAGTGGCTTTGATTTGTCCACTGATGCTCCTAGTTCAATGAATTTATGTCTTAGACTACGAGCGTTGGTATATAAAACTTTTAGGGAGAACGACCTATCCAAACAGCCCTTGATATCATTCGCTTCCAAAACCTGATTATTCGAAAACCCACTACTGGGCAACTTAACCAACGAATGAGTGAATATCTACCAGCATGGTTTGGGAAGGGCCAGATAAAAGCAATACGCAGTTCTATCTTGGCACATCTAATTGATAGTGGTCACAATGTAGATAAATCGAAATCATTTCGAGTGATCTATCGTGCACCTCCACCATTTCCCAACGGAGTTCGTTTCTGTCTCCTATATGCAGGAGAAGCCATAGGAACTCGTACATTTCACCTACATTTATGTGTACAGAAGAAATTTTTAACCCCTCTATGCCTTCCATGGCCGGACATAACTCAACAAATGATATTATTATCACTATTTTAAATTTAATTTTTAACTTCTTTATCGTTTGTTTGTTATTTTCCGCATTTTCCGTCTGTATTCTTCACTATCTAATGTTTATAACTACGTGGAACGTCCGTACAATGTGGGAGACCAGTCAAATAGCAATGTAAATGCGGAGATGTAAATTTACGGTGCTTGGAATCAACGAAACTCATTGTACACAAGCTGGACAACAAAGGCTTGGTACGAGAGAGATGCTGCTGTACTCCGGTCACGAAGGATAAAAGCTCCACACACTCAGGGAGTTGATCTGATGCGGTCCAAAGAAGCACGTAATGCACTTACAGGATGAGAATCTCACGGATCCATGATCATCAAAGCATACTTCAAAACGAAGAAGGAGGAAATAACGATGAATTTTATATACTGTTATACACTCTTAAGTGATATCAACGACGACGATAAAATCGACTTTACGAGAGATTGCAATCAACCATGGATAAGTTCGCAGAAAACGACCTAATCATCCTGATGGGATATGTAAACGTCCAATTCGGAATAAACAACACTGGGTATGAAGATATCATGGGTCGAGGTGGACGGATTAGGCGGAACGAACGAGAATGGGGAGAGATCTATAAATCTATGTACATTCAATAAGTCGGTTATAGGTTATAGGCGGCACAATATTTCCACACAAACGCATACAAAAAGCTACATGGACCTTACCGAACAACACCACATAACCAGATAGATCATATTTGTATCAACAAAAAATTCCGAAGGACAATGGAAGATGTGAAAACAAGAAGAGAACACTGACATAGCTTCACATAACCACTTAGTTGTGGCCGAGATCAAGCTGAAGTTAAATAAACAATGAACAACTGGGGGAACAGCATTACTAAGGTTCAATATAGCCTTTATTCGAGATACTCACAAACTTAGCCAATTCAAGATAACTCTCAACAACAGGTCCCAAGCTCTACAAAATCTACTGAAAGAGCAAGGATCCACGATGGAGGACAACATGAAACGGATCAAAGAAACATTAATTTTAACGTACCAGGAGGATCTCGGTCGCAAGAAATATCATCATCCAAAGTGAAGTATATGAATACAAATGCTTAGAAATATTAAACGCTTATTGCTAGCTACACACATATATCAAAACCGTTTGCTTACTGAATATAATTATACACAATAGTATATTCAAAATGCATAAAATTGTTGATATGTGTAAAGTCTTGCAACATTAGTAATTGACCAATCCAACTACAAAAAAAACAGGAGCCATTGTCAAGACTGACACAGACCACCGAGCATTCCGTCCTCTCCAAACTGAAACTGATAATAGCAGTCAGATACCTACCGGAAATTGAACTTAGAAGTACGGCAATTCGATTGAGTGGCTACCATCGTAGCTCAGTAATTTCTTTTACATGGCTTCTGAGCATTCCTGGAAGCCTCTGAGTCTTTTTCACGTAGAATATCCGGAAGGTAAGAAGCTATTTGTTTTTGTACGTATTTCAAGCTGATGCTTTTGGAAAGCTCCTGGCGTATTCCAGTATGGTACCAATATTCATTATCTTCAGCAACATAACTCTTATTATGTCGAGAAGAGATTTGCATACAGTATTATCAATTGTAGGATTAACGCTTAAGTCTCAAGATATTTTATTTTTGTGGTTGTTTGATCAATGAACTGAGTAACTATCTTCTCAAATATATCATCAAGCAACCAAGGCCTTTCCCTACCAGTTTGTTAATAAATAATGCTTACAGATTTTTGTACATACAGTTCACCCAGGTATTAAGTCATCAGGTATGCCTTCAAACCATGCACAATTCATGGGCTTTTTCTGTGCTTACATTGGATTTTTCCTCTTCATAAGGTTAGTGAAGCCTTTGTTTATTCGATTACTTAGGCTCAATCAGCAATCCTTCAGTCGCCAGTTCACAACATCTGTTTACTTAGTTTGTGCATCAATTACTGCAGTCGTTTGCTACAGCAGGTACCAAGAGTTTCTATTTATTTCAAGGGTTTATTTATTGTATCATACTTCTACTCAAGTTTTAGTTGGGATCATGATAGGTGGAATTTCCGGGATACTGTGGTTCTTAATTGTTCACTATGCAATAACACCAATATTTCCACGGTTCACGGATAGGTAGGTCTTTTATTTTCATTAGAACCAATTTTTACTGTCAATGTTTTTGAACAGTTTCTCAGATCTAATTTCTTTAGATAAACTGGGCGCAGTCATTCTCAAAGGAAGCAAAGGGCAAAGGTTTGTAGGGAACGCTCAACTTACCATTGTACGCTTAGCCTTTAGTAAAGGTTTTGACTTAGCACGTCATGCAGTAGTCTCGTATTTCAATCTGTAGTTTAGTAACTCAATACAATCTTTGTGCTTGGAAAATTCGAACAACTGTAAGACTAATACACATCTCGTTGGTTAATGTTTTCAATATGATCTTTGGATGATATATATATATGTATATTAGAGAGAGAAAAGTATTGCTGCTTTTAAGTCCGGTAATTGTAATAAGTCATTTTGATACTTGATATATAGCAGGTACTTAGTGACATAAGTCGCGTTCACATCGAGGTTTAAAGTTAGATTTGCCATAAAAATCTCGTGGAATTTCTATTTGTTCAAATCGTTCACTCAAGGAAATTGTTCAGAATCTTTCTCACTGACCCGGATACATTCACTCTTTGTTGTCTCTTAGATTCTTCTTTCTATAGCTTCACTCATTCACATGCATTGTGGAACTTGACACATGCGCATTGGTTCAAGTCGCTATAGCATTTTATAACATGTCCTGCTAATTCGTTCTCGAATCATATTGTCTACCCTGCCCTGGTACGGCCGAGAGTAAGGAGAATTAACTTCCTCTCAAAATGCCCTCACATGGCCACGCGTATACAGTCACTGCCAGGGAAGTCCTACTCACTGCCTTCTCGTGGCGGTGTTGCTTAATAAATTGAGAGGACAAAAAGCGAATTGGTGGACACGGAAAGTTCACCTAGGGGAGTTGGAAAACCCTGATTCCAAGCCAATGGTGTACATGGGCTCCAGTATCCTGACGGAACAAATGGCGTATAAGCCTATTGTTGGTCACCGGCTGCCATGGGACTGCATCTCCTTACGATGATCCACTGTTTTGTGGATCAGACCTTTAGGTCAAACGCTTCGGGTGTGGCCGACTAAGAAAACCACCTTCATTTTGGGCACCTGGGCAGTGTCAAAGCCCTCACGCAAATCAAATGAGATATGTGCGGCGCATATATATCTGGTGACAGGGAATACTGTGCAATGATATATTTGAAAATTGGTACAAACTATACCAGAAAGAATTATTGATCAGTTTATGTTTAAATTAGTCAAATACTTCTTTGCTTAGAATTACTGGTCAAACTGAGGTGTGTATACGAAACATTTAATGTAACTGTTAAGTTGTAGGGAATCAAATATAATGGGTTATTTCAACTACCCATAAATCCGATCTGAGTTCTGAACCACAGACCATATGATAGCACCAACTCAAAACACCACCTAGATAGGTTTTTTTGAATCAGAAACGTTTATGAACAATTTCTCAAGGATATCTCCAGGTTTTTTTCGAGAAATAGTATCCTGATATACGGGCCTTGTGATCTTTAGGAGACCTACCGGGATGCGGTGATGAAGCAAAAAGCTTTTTCACCTTACGGCACATCATAGACCGTCCACAACTCCGCTTTTTGCACAGTGTATTAGTGTTAGCAATCAATATCCCATGTGGCAAATTGAGCGGAGTGTATGTTTCTGTGGTAGATCGGGAATCATATGCATTGTTCTTATGTGTTGAGAATATCACATTACGAAAAGATTTTCTACGTTATCCTGATAACTTTTTATTCCTGTTTTTTTGTAGTTGGATTGGTCAATTACTGATGTTGCAAGACTTTACACATATCAACAATTTTATGCATTTTGAATATACTATTGTGCAGAATTATATTCAGTAAGCAAACGGTTTTGATATATGTGTGTAGCTAGCAATAAGCGTTTAATATTTCTAAGCATTTGTATTCATATATTTCACTTTGAATGAGCAAATCACTTATCTTATGAATCGTGTCAGCGGCTGAACTGATTTGAGAAATTTATCATTTGCCAAAATAGACGCCACTGACCAAATTTCATGTTGTTGAAACGCTATATGGTCACTGAGGTATCATTTGAGAATTACAATTCCATTTAGTGAAGACCGATCTCAAAGCGAACAAACTCATTGTTGATCCTTAGACGTGACGGTAATACTCCATGAAGACTCTCATCCTGAATTCCTGTTAACATATATAAATAAATATGTTTTACATTGTTATTTGTAATTTATCTAAACAAAGCGTGATAAAGGTTCATAATAATTGCCGTACTAACAAGGAAATACGGTAGATGATTTCGACAAATCTTAGTGAACTTTGATCAATACTGATTATTGTATTAAATGTTCTCTGGAAATATCCGTACGAATATAATGAACTTCTCTTAATTTCAGTAGAACGAAATCCGGAAGGCCCGCGTGAAGAATATAACGTTTTGTTTCATTTTTGCGACCGGTTTTTTCTTTGTAATAAACGATTATTTATCATTACTTCTCTTTTTTCGTATATTGTGCGTTATGACTAGTTTTCTACTAGCGCATTCCTGTCATATTGCACAAGTTGTGTGTATAATTCGCAGACCCTCAAAACTTCAGTCGAAAAGATATCATTGTTACAAAAGATACATTTACAAGTACTTAGAACCACTGATTAACGTTACATATAGAGCCACACTGTAGAACCAAGTTTTCATTTGTATGTTCATGGATGTTCTAACTCTTCTGGACGTATCGGCCTTGTCATTGGTATAACAGATCGTTTAAGCACATCTGCTGAAAGTGCTTTCCTCATATCTAAGAAAATTGAGCAGATAAAACATTCTTTTTGAATTGTATATAACAAAGTATATCTAACATTAGTTTTGCATTTTTCCCAAAGTAGTAGAAATGGAAAGCAATTATTCTAAAACGATAATTTCACTTAATACAGTACAGAAGAAAATGAGTAAACAAATATAAATGATATCAATAAATAACAAAAACTTCCTCAAACTTAAATGAATCTTCACAAAGTTAAGCAATTATGTAGAATCAATTAATAATTTCCTTTAATAATGGACATTTAGTGGAAAGGGTAACTCACAGACTTGACATCTTATCAGATTCCAAATTATTTTCTAAACGATATGTGCTTAGCTGAAAAGTCCTGAAATCCTAAATTTGACTCTGTGTGAAAAAGTTGTCGATTATCCCAGAAATTACTTTATTTTCTTAGTTGAAAGCGTAAGTCAATTGAAGCTAGACCACCAGGGAAAACCTGGAGGCACTGGACGGCTGTTTCGCCCTATTGCGGGACTCCTCAGCAGTGCGTATCCACGACCCCGCCTCGCGAGATTCGAACACAGGACCTACCAGTCTTGCGCCAGATCACTTAACCGACAGACCACTGGGCCGCCATCCGATGGTTTTAATGTCCAACTGCAACCAATCCACGAAGTTGAGCAACCGTTCACCAATTGTTTTCATTGAGTTCTTATCTCACAACAGACGTGGTTTAAACTACACTGGTCACGGCTTCTCACTAGAACTCCAGGATTTGCCTCTCGAAGTCAGTCACTAGTGAGCATATGATTATCATTATCAGAAGAGGTTTTTGTGGAGATTTAGTATTTTCATAGTTGGAAGCTGAGGAGTCCCGCAATAGGGCGAAACGGCTGTCCAGCGCTTCCAAGTTTTCCCTGGTGGTCTAGCTTCAATTGACTCACGCTTCCAACTATGTATATACTAAATCTCCACAAAAACCCCTTCTGATAATTATTTTATTAACCAAAACAGCATCGAGAAATCTTTCAAAATTTCTTAGATGCATATCTGTAAGCGTCTAGTATGTCTTTGAATTTTTTTACATGTAAGGAATGATACTTGTCAGTCAGTCACACGCAACGTAGAGCATGGCACATCTGCATCGGTTCAAGTTGCCACAACACATCAGCATAACGAGGTCTCAGAGTAGTATTGGTGGTAGTTAAGAAACATTGAGCATAGAAGATATGATCCGAGGAGATAATAAACTTGGTGTTTAAGGTAAGATAAAGAGTAAATGCACCTGTGCCACTGAGCTATGCCATCCAAAGACTAGTCGTTGGTTACCAGAATCACAAGGTCCTTAAAGACATGGTCACCACCTACATACATGGCCCGCTTGAACGAAAATATGAAGTACATTACTCCGTTCGGACACTTGCGACGATTGTAGAAGTCTATTGACCCCTTATATATCTATAATCACATTACCCTTGCTAAAATAATGAAAGGATACGGCGGTATATTTGAATGGCTTTGTGGATATCCCATCAATTATTCGACTTGCGATTAGAAAAATGTTTAGAGTCACTGAAGACAGGTGTTTAAAGGTCTGCCACTAGCGGAACTGTTTTTGACATGATGGTAACGCGACCTATCATAATTTTATTCTACACTTTTCCTCCCGTCTCACTCATTTCTTAAAGAAAGCTTTTTACTGAAGTGGATATTGTCTATTTCCTGGCTTCGTTTTCCATCTTATTTTCTTGATGTGCTGATGCAACGTGTGTGAACTCGAGCAGACACGTTTATAACTGATTAATTTGATCTGTGCGGATCCAAGATACGTCTAACTGGCACCATAATGTTTTGCCTTTTGTTTATCAAAAGTAAAACACTAAAAGTGTGGGTTTTCATTTAGAAGTGCACTTGTAACATTACTTGTTTATAACGAAAACATATCTAAAGATACTTGGTTATTAGATGTATAACCTTCTCTAAGGAAAGTAACAAGTTGTGCGGTGAAATTGAGAAGCTTAATCAAGTACTACGACTACATTTTGGAATACAAGTTGAGTTCCTGCTGCACTGATAAGAAACGACATGTGAATAACTTGAGCTAACTATCTAATTATCCAACGCTTTAAATATACGACTTTATGAAGCCTAAATAGTTTGACACTTACCGAAAGCATCTTCATCTTCAACAGAACCCCAGTAGTAATTTAAGACTCTGCGATATATAATATACCCCAATTTACTATAAATATCTATGCCCAGTTTGTTTGATGCACGTACGAATAGGTCGACATAGTAACATCGCTTCCTAAAGGAAAGAGAAGAATTGGGAGATTCACTTCAACAGCGATTTAAAACCTATAGGATTGGGCCATATGATTCATTTATTATGAATCTGCACTAGTACCATTGTTAGACGTTATAATAACTGTTTTTGAGTATTTCTCCACTACATTTTTCTCCCATCAGTCTAGCAGCTATACTCATTTTTTAGTGCAATTGGATTTCAAAGCTGAGTTGTTCTCCTAGGTTGTTTTTTGTTCTAATCATTTGATATCACTGTTGTCAGTTCGAGTTTTAAAGTAATCGACTCGCTTAGTGTGACCGTAAAACAGCATATTAAATGAAAACTTGAAGTTTTTCAACAATCTCTATATTTCATAAAAGCAAATTGTAATGGCATATCTGAGTAGTTGTTAGTCGCAGAGTAGCATACCATATTCTGAGTTAAATTTTTAGGTCAGAAGCCAACATTCTATTGTATGATATTGAGTCACATAGTCCCCTGAAGATAAATAAAATCTTTAAACTGTTGAATATAAAGTTGGATCCTCGTCATAAAAAAACAGACTTGGAGTAGGCTAGTTACAAAACAACTATATTTTGTAGACTTGATCAGGGGTAATTTTCATCTCAGTAGAAACTAGACTTGACGAGGATAAAAGAATCCACCAGGAGCGCATACCTATCAAAACCAAGCAGATTTTTCTGATTATCTTTATTTGGACAAACCAAGTTCTTGAGTTCAGAATTCATAAGACAGTTTCAGTGTACAACTACAGTAACGTTATTTTGTAACGACTAGGTCACTCTACATGTATTCTGGTTGAAGAAAACTTAGAATATACTCCACGAAATTAATACGCAACCAACCGAGAACTTGATCTCCAATAATTGTCAAATGACGAGATGAAATTTTTAGGGTGGTCATTATAGTTTCACAGCAATGACTCATGAAGTAGATAGTTGCAGTTCCTAAAATATTGTTACGACACGATCTTAATGAAAGGGCTTGAATTCTATTCTTTAATGTAGTTAGAAAAACCATCCTATGGTTTTTGTCTATCAGTCTTCTGCACACTTATAATCTAGAGTCTTTTTATCATAATATTCAATCACTGCAGAGCAAGCGAGTATCATGCAATGTATTCTTTAATGTCGACTGAATTCCATCAATCAACTCTGCAATTTGACCATTAGAATAAATAAGTTTTTTTCCATGTTGAGTACATTGTTATCTGATGCATAAACGCAGATACGATACTTCAGTCTAAGGTCTGTTTTCTTTAATCACTACGCACCTACACAACACAAAAGTTCCTAAATATATACTAATTAGTAGACTGTTATCTTACATCAGAAGAGCACTAGAAGGGACTTAAACAAAGAAGTTTATTTTCTTTATAAAACAGCAGGTTAATAGTGACGTCTAGTTTACAACCAAGTAAATCTTTCACTGCTGTAACATTTAAGTATACGTGCCTTATTTAAAAGACTAGGATCTTAACCAGGAATGTTATCCCAGAAATATTTAAAGCCATACCAATTTTAAAATCCAGTTTTTCTAAACATCCTTACCGTTCGGAAGTTTCTTCTAACTCTAACATTAGTTGAGTAGCTAATCTCAAACGACGATATTCGGGAGCCACTGACAGCGCTGTGACATGACCATGCCAATCCACTCCATGACCTTCCGACTTCGCCATCATGTAGCCCATTAGTCGTTGACACGTAGATGGTATTGATACGATCTTGGGAGATGGGTTTTGTGCATCACCTGTGTGTGGAATATCCGAAAGACGTGTCGAATTCCTTTCAAAACAGGTTAGTGTGGGTGACTCTAGGACTCGCATATACTCTGGCCATTTTGCCAAATAATGCAGATAAAATCCGATACTATACTTTTATTGCCATTAACAGTGTAACAGTACTACTAAGTCAAAGAAAGTACAATTTCATAATGGTCTATCGAGCATATTCTAAATAATCTAAAACTTGGAGGAAAAACTAGTATTCATAGTTCGTTTGCTTACCACCTACTGGACACGAAGTACACATTAAAAGTCATTAGTAAACAATAATATATATATATATACTCTAGTGATATCTGTATAAAATACAGCAACTGAAAGAACTATTCAGAAAAGGTGGTTACGGCTTTAATGTTTTAATAACATAATTAAATTATGTGAAGAAATTAGCTTCAATTGCTCAACTTATAAAGATTTTTCTATTAAAACTAATTATAGTTCTATTAAATCCTTATCCTTTTATGTAACAAAAGTAGTTTTTAACACACTATAACTACCCATAAACACCATTAGCTCTTCAATGTAAACTAGATTACAAATGCGCCTTCTAGAAAACCTACTATCCTCTTATGGGCAACTAATTTCTTGATTTCTAAGTACGCTAAAATTTCAAAATAACTTATTAACTTAGATATGGTTAAGAAGAAAGGAGTAGACTACACTGAGTTTATTAGAATCTCCAGATACTGGCATTCTTACTTTTTCAACTTGTGAAAGGAACCGTTTGCATCATATTGGACTGTCTACTATATAAATTATACAGAAACAGTATTATCTACTATATAACCTTCCTTGTGCAGATTAATAAACAATGATATCATGGAAACCACATAATTTCTATAGTTCGAATTCTTGTTCATTAGAAGTTTTGACTATTATTTATGAGAAACAAGTAAACAATCAACATTATTTGAAGCTGTATAGTTAACCTATACTTAGCGAAGTGTGTTGAAAACGTTATCTAATGAATAATGCTGGTTCTCTGTATTTATAGTAAACAAACCAGCGTTAGGTTTCCTTCAGTACAGTAATCCTAGTGATATTATATTAGATAGACAAATATATATAAATACTTCCCATACACCTCGAATTCCACAAGATTCAACAAACATATAACTAATATGCTAAAGGATACAGTTTCCGTATATATATCCAGATTACTAAAACAAAAGCGAAGAATATGGTTGAGTACATAGTACAAATATAATTTTAATAAACTAAGTAAGCAGTATACACAAAACAATTTATAGCGTAAAATGGAGTGATATTCGCGCTTGTACAGATTAGATATAAACTTACTTTCAGTAACTTTTAGAAAAACGCAGTACAGTTAGAACATGGTTTGCGACTACCTAAATTCAATTTCCATATTTAACGAAGTGAAACAGAATGACACCGCTCATAAGTTCAATACAGTACAACAACCCCTAAATGTGGAATGACCTTGAAGAAAACAAACTGGATCTTGAGGTTAATTAGCCACACTAACTGTGGAAATTCTGCTACATATGGGAGTGTAATATCAAGGCTCGCGGATTTTAATGGCTAGTAACTGAATGTTAACAGCTAAATACTTCATTAGTTATATTTTCCATCGACAACTAATCTTACTAATGCCCTAGTAGGTTTATATTCAAAGACAAAGCCTAATATTCTGAACGACACAAAATTTCTAGATTCTCTGATTTCTGCTGGAAATAAAGTATATTAAACTACCGTCAGAGGCAGCGCTATCTGCTTTATTTGATATCATTTAGCTTTAATAGAGATAATTAACGGGGAATAATCTACAATAAGTGTTAGGAGGTTTAATTGATCTATAGAACTTATTTATTACTACCAACTGGAAGTTTTCGTCTCCAGGAATTTGAGTCTAACGTAATTTCAATCTAATTTACAAACATTATTGCGAAAATCGTAATATCGAATCAATGTTTCCGCAGATAAAATTGTATATTTGTGTGAAAATACTATCAACGTATGTTTGTAAACTGAAATATCAGGTTTAACAACGCCTGGTGTACAACGACCTCAACTGACATTCACGTTATTCTAACAGACTTCTTTGTCTTTAAAATATATTTCAAAGGTTCTTTCGTGTATCATGCACAAGTGTTGACCAGTTCGTTAAATTTCCCAGTGAGTTAAAGTTTTGAACTCTACAAAACCACTTAGTCATATAGATCAAGGTGTAGTATCGAAATTCGTAAACAACCAATGAGTCGAAACAGGATGTAATCACTTTAACAGAGAGTTTTTCCTAACCAATGATAAAATCCGCTATATAAAAGGATGAAGAACTCATTAATGTAGTGTAATTTGTAGACATCCCTTTTAGTACCAAACACTTTGTTCACAAATGCCCTGGTACTGCTGAGAGTGAGGAGAGTCCGCTCTCTCTTGAAATGCTTTCATACAGCCACGTGTATACAGGTAATACCAGGGAAGTCCTACTCACTGCCTTGTCGCGGTTAAAAAACCAAGAACAAAAGCTAACAATTTGATTACCAGGCTACATCATAACTAAGATTAGTAGAAAATAAACTGATGACTGTCAATACAGACGAAACAACTGACTTAAAAGTATGTTCAGAAGTGTGGAAGTCAGAAATAACTAACAAATAGTTGAAGAACACACAAAAGATTAAGTATAACAATTAGTGGTCTCACTGTGCTCTAAAGTCATCTTTAAATATCACGTAAAAAAGAGTTAAATAGAATCAGGCAAAAACTTACATATTTCCAAACTTCAACAAGTCTAAGCAAGTAAACGGCCTCACGGTTACCATAATGCAGTCAATTTTCTCTCCGATCCAATTACAAAAGTATATGTCTATCAATTCATAAACAGGTTACATATGACTGAATTCACAATAAATCAAGAGAAGATAAGGTTAATATGTATACCTGCAACAGCAATCAAGATCACTGTAAACATCTATATTCAGTCAGTCAGTCACAAAGTAGAACTTTTTACGTACGTAAATCAGTTCGAGTTGCCATACCACATTAGCACAGAGATGCAGTCGTCGATTCAAATCCCATAGTGGTAGAAGTAGTAGGAGTATAATCAGAAATCCAAAAGATTAGGGTTTGAAGAAATTATTGAAGGAGTATAGTACAGTGAAATAAATTTGGAAAGAGAAAAAAAAAGGAAAGTATATATAGAATTCTAAAGATTAGAATTTGGGAGAACACAAAGAGTGGATGCTCCTGCGCCATTGCAAACGATTTTGAGCCATGTCATTCAAGGTCTCTAACCATCGATTGCTATCATCTCGCGAATCCCAAAGAGGGAGTCTACACCTACCAGCATGGCTCACTCCAACTGTCAGTGACTCCATGGATTTGTGCCACGTTTTGGTCTGGCCGTCCTTAGCTTTCTTCCAACCTACTCCTACACCATAAAACATTGCACGTCGAGTCAGTCAGCTACAACGTAAGACAAGGCACATTTATGCATCGATCCAAGTTGCCATACCTCGTTAGCACAACAAGATGAACATCGGATTCATAGAAGTAATTAATTTAGTGGTGGTAGTATATAAAAGATAGGTTGTATATAAAGATATAGTATAGGAAGGAAGAACGTTATGAAGCAATTTTAATATTAAGGTTTAAGGGAAGATAAAGAGTGTATACACCGACGCCATTGTGATCGATTCTGAGCCATGTCACACAGAGTCTCCAACCATTGGTTACGATAGTCACGCGGACCCCAACCTGGTAGTCTGCATCTGTCAACATGGCTCAGACTAGAAGTTAGTGACTTCACGCTGTGATATCACGTTTTAGTTTGGCCGCCCCTAACTGTTTTCCAACAATCCCCAGTACTAGTCAGCATAGTGCGTCGTGGTAATCGGTGTCCAGGCATAAATTCATCGTAGATAACACGTTCATATACCACCAAATAGGGAAATGTACAGTTCAGCAGTCTCAATGGGCGATAAAAAGTAAAAGATATGCGTGGGCTGACAGTATATGATCGTAGGTATCTCTTAAGTATTGCTCACACTACAATAAATCAATGAGCAATCTATAGTTTAGATGCAGAGTGCTAGGCGAGAGAAATTTTATTTATGAGGTTACAAACCTTCAACGGAGGTAGTTATGGTGAACACTACGCATCCCTTAACATTCCTTATACCGATATGCAAATTTGGGTGATATATGTTGGCAAAAAGCTAACCCTGGACAAATCAAGACGTGAGATTTATTCATAAAATTCCTGATTAATCGCAATGACTATCCCAAAAGGCACAGACTCTTTGGTATGGATCATTTCAACACTCGTAATAAATGGTCGCAGACGTTGAATAATATGGAATACAATCGGTTACAGTGGCTTAGCGGTATTTAGCCCTTATGTCCCGCTAAATCTTTGGCATAGTACAATAAAAGAAGTGTATCCACTTTAATTATTTGGTTTTGTATAATATATTTTAACCCTATGCTGACTGTTTACTGATTGGTTAACATTTCTCAAGGTCACTTAAGATTCGCTCAAAGGTCACGCCATCAAGATTTTCCTTGAAGGACCACATTAATGTAACTTGGGTCATCTTAGCCGGAGCGAACATTAACAATTGACTACTAGTAAGGAGTAGGTGCACGCACAGTCTAGTTTACTGTGTTGTGCCTCTAACTTTCGAGGCTTTTTCCTGAACTTTGTGTTGAAACTGAATTTAAGTAGGTCTTCTAGGGAACCCACGAGAGTATTCACAGAGCCCTAAGTCATTAAAAGACTACCTCTGAGTCCCCTATATTTTAAAATGTAAAAATTTAGCGACTTAAGGAGTTCCTCGAGAGGCCTGAATTTGAGCCCGTGAGCTGACTTCGCGACTCGCTTTTGGATACGCTCTGGAGTATTCTTATCCTTTCGAAGTGGAGAAAACCATTTCTGTACTTTATATATGGTCGAAGAAAATTGTCAAAACAAATAAAAAGCTTTACTGTTAAAATGAACAAGCATCCAATTGAAAACGACCAGCGCATGCATATCATTTAAATCATAGAATACTAAGACACCTAGATTCTTCTCAAATAATGGTCTGTAGAGGGAAATTGCCGAAGTTATGTGTATAAATTGCAACATGTAGATAGACTAGGTTACACTTTAAAAATTCGAGCGTGGATTCATAACCATTCATTTAATCTTGAAGCACAGCCATATCCTGATGAAGTATTACCTTCTCAGTCTGGCTGAAAACTCTCCAAACTAAGGATATTCAGCAAAAAATAATGTCCTAAAAGATACCTAAGCAAAATCATTCATGTCAATTAAAAAAGAACAACCCTCAGTCCTAAATTCTTAGAGGCATAACTGGGAAACTGTAGCCTGTGAAAATAGAAGGCTTACTTTAACTTGAAAAGTGTTCTTTAGACATGACTTAAGTCTGTCTGTTTGGAGTAGGATGGGTCACACTTTACGGGAGCCATAAAGCTGCACCGTGAGGCAAATCCTTGCTTTCAGCCCTCGAGAGAGGCAGATCAAGAAACACAGCCCCGAGGATCAGAGGAAGACATAGACCATGAATAGTACTTAGCAACAAATGGAAAGGACAGCCGAGAGCAGTTACTACGATGTTTTGTCAGCAGCCTGAGACGTAAAAGCGGTAACATGCCCTAGTAATTAAGCGAGTAGGCCAGAATAATAGTGGTGACTTGATACTTATCAACTTGGGCTTCTTGAAAAACGTATGATCGTATCTCAAATGAATCATATGACAGATGGCAAGGTATTGTTTTATCATCAATAAATCTGGCATCAAACTGACTGGCCTTAAAATATACTTATGGATTTTAAATACCAGACCTAAAATTTAATGTTTGTAAGGTTATGCTTGACCACGGAATATTGCGAATACGCTCGCACAGACTAACCTTGGAGCAGGCACCTAACTTGTGTCTTGCGCCTTCAATATTTCAGTTTTAGTTTCAATATATTATATATGAAATTAAAATTTTGCTGAGATCACAGATCATTGCTAAGCTAATATCGCTATCCTGTGTTTTGGGTCATCGACAAAGTCAAATCACGCCGTGTGCATCTGCTGTGTATTCCCATTTAACTCCATTTTTTAACTGTTATTTATCTTACTGTTGAAAAATAAAATCAATAAATTATATTTAGTAAGTACTTATTTACCATGAAGGCCACGACGGGGGTCGTAACATGTCAAAAGGGACCACAGTCGTGTGTTTAGTAGGAATCCAAGCGAGAGCTTAAACCGGTATAATGCACCACATGGGGTGCCCTTATGTTACTAGCGTTCTATCAGTGTATTGTCCGCGTTCACTAAGACTTAGATGTTAGTTTGGGAATAGAAGCTGTGCTTGTTGTGTGAGAAGTAGTTCAGGAGCTACTATGAGTGTTATCGAAAACGATAATATTTCAGGTCAAACTCACTATTGAAACGGCATGAACTTTATCTAGGAATATAATTCGAGCAGAGGAATTCTGCAACCTCTAGGCTGTTGCACAACACAATAACCTTAAACTGCTTGTTTGCTTTACTTTAAATAGGGTTTTGGCATAAGGACAATGTTGAAGGTAGACAAGTCTCGATAAATCTAATGACTTGTTGAAGACCATTCGGTATAACAACTTGCAACTGATCGTTACTTGATGTCCGGAACCACACATAATTTGCCAGATAACTTTTATCGAGGAAATGATTGTGAATCGTCTTGCATGAATCCATTATGTACCGGTCGAGACCATGTCACAAAAGAAATATGGCTTCACAACGAGTAAGCTTTGATCTATGAAGAAGTAAGCATGATAACGGTTACTTGCAGTTTTACTCTCTGACCATACAACTCCGGCTTCCTTTTTATGGGCAAAACGACAGAAATATACAACGTACTGATGATGAATTTTAGGCTTTTCTTCATTCAGCTTACTTTCACGTACCACTCAATTTGCACAGGTGATCTACTAATGCTATTTATCTCATAACGTACTTTCTTCAATTTATTACTAGCACCTCTGACTTAGCCCCAGGTTGTCAGGTGCATGAGTTTATAGTGGTAATAGTTACTAGCCACATGATCCTCAAAGCTGAGCATATAGTTGCCGAGACGGTTGAAATCCAACATGTAAAACGTGGAGGAGATAGGCAGTGGTGGACGCGAGAAGAATGAGTCGAAATGGCATTGCTCGGCCATACAAGTGTGCGAACCCCATGTAACATGTTTTGTATTTGATATATTACTCACTACCCAGACCGAAATGTAGTCTTCATACGTGTTATGTGTGATATTGCCTACTGTCTCGATAGGATGGGTCAGCGTACACTATGTTATGACTTCTACGTAAAATCTAATAGATTAGATAGTCACATCATAATGGGTCTACAATTTCAGAATCATCTCTATTATTATTGTAGCATAAATAAATGTACAAATACCTAACTGTATCGTAATTCTACGCGTTTCTTGATCTCTTTTTTGAATATAACACTTTTATTTATAACTGGGCACTCATAATTGTTTTCGAACTCCGACGGAATAGAGATATCTATAATACTAAGGCAGTGCTATAACATTAGAACTGAAAGCTGTATCAATACATTTCCAATGCTGACATTCAGACACCTGTCGAAAATTGATTTCGTACCCTCCAACATCAAGCAGGCCATAACTGCCCTAAAAAATTCCTATGACGGTAGACCTGACGGGATTCCCTAATCATTTGCGAAATATGGTAGTAGAGAATTCCCATTATTTTGTTCAAAACTTTTCGACCTATCTATGGAATATAGGGGCCCATCCATCTGTATGGAAAACATCTCTTATTACCCCCAGATCCAAAACCGGATCACGCAGTGATATTGTTAACTACAGACCAATTAATTTGACATCCGTGCTGTCAAGAACTATGGAAAAAATCATCCATAAACAGCTATGATCATTCTTGCTTTCAGTTAATCTGATTAGCCCATCCCAACACGGGTTTATGACCAAACGCTCATGCTTCACATCGCACCTGGAAGTTTTTGATCAAATTACCTAGAGAAGAGATGTTGGTCAGTCAGTGATGATTCTGTACTTCGACTTTAGTAAGACCTTCGACAGCGTCTCACACAAACTTCTTCTTCTAAAACTCTCTTCATATGGAATACAGAATCCCCTTTTATCTTGGCCCAAGTCAATTTTAGAAGAACGTAGCCAAATTGTCCGCTTTGGATCTTGCTACTCCAAACATGGGAATGTAACCAGTGGGGTTATACAAGGAAGTGTAATCGGTCCATTACTATTTCTCCTTTTTATCAATGACGTTTGCTCCCTCTTTCAATATGGTAAACCTTTTCTTTTGCCGATGATCTAAAAGTGGTTTATTCCTTCTCATCTCCCACCAAAGAAAGCTATATTTCAACGGTAATCCAAGAAGAAATAAACAAGTTGTACGAACGGACTATTTCGTGGAATTTGCCACTTAATGTTGACAAAAGTGGATTTATTACCATTAGCCGCTGCCTTAACCTAAATCTGGCTATACAAAAACATACACTGAAACCTCTCAACACTGTTCGTGACTTGGGTTTAAGATATAGCGACAGTTTGAACTTTTCTGAGCACATTGTATATCAATTATCCAAAGCTAGAAAGCTCATCGGATTCATAATGATTAATCTCAATAACATCGAATCGAGGTTATTATTATATAGAAAATTTATCTTACCAATTCTTGAATATGGTATTTTAGTTTACAGTAATTGCAGGCATAATGACCTGATTAAAATTGATGGTGTTCAAAGAAGGTTCACCAAAGCTGTTTTAGGGTATTCTGACAACAAAGACTATCACCAAAGATGTCAACAACTCAAACTAGAACCTCTCTGGATCAGGCGTATCAAATTAAACCCTATCTTCCTCTACCGGCTTCATAACGATATTTCTTACTCTCTACTATCTACCCCTCCATACTCTATGATACCGTCCCACAATCTACCCAATAAGGAAAATATTCGAACGATTCCAAAAACCCACACAAATTTACGCCAGAATTTTTTCGTTATTCGCTACTCAACCATGTGGAATAGACTGCCAGTGAACCTTCGATGCAGTGAAACTACAACCCGGTTCCGAAGTCTTGTTGATGATTTTCTTTCCGAAAGTGGATTGTGTCACCTATTGAATATCAACGTGCTTAACAATGATATATACAAAAAAGGTCGGTCATCTATCTGACTGACTGAAAAGCAAAGTGAAACCTTTGAAATTTTGATGCCTATTTTATTTCACTTTTATTCATCTTAATATATGAAGTCTGCTTATGTTCGTATTTATAATTATTAGTTATTGATATCATTATTGGTCCCCCGACGCATGAGATATTCTTTTCATCTCTTCTTGTTTTTCTAAACATATTTTATTCCTAGACATCCAAAGTCTATAACTGAAAGCAAAAAATCGCTCTATGTTACACTTAAACAAATAAATTCTCAGATTTTTATTTTTATTTTTTAATCTTCACAACATGTATATAACAGAATCTTGCTCCGAGGGTGAAGCTATGTAACTTCGGACATCTGGAACAAGCTCGACGAACGCGCATTCCCAAGGTCATAGCTCGAACCAGGCGCTCCACAGGCCTACGTTATGACAACAATAAACTTAAAAGGCTGCATTACATAAATACTTAGCACGACCGAAACCCTATCACACTTTTTGTCGAGATTGGATCTGGTATGTAACGTGGACGCTATGCCCCTTTGGAAATATATTCTTATGAAAACACATTATATCTGAACGAATGAACTGCTATCAACTTTTATAGATTATTATTACCAAACAACCTTGCTTGGGATGCATACTGTGAACCAGTATATGTTGTAAATTGTAGATCATGCCTGTAAAAATGGCGTGTCCTTGCTATTGCAGAAATATTTTATTATTATTATATAGAAATTTATATTTGATTATCCTTTGCAATCAATTGTGACTAAGATAGTATCACTCTAAATTATTATTATTGCACGAATGTTTATACTAATGCCCGGTTTCACTCTGTATACTGTTACATAAATCTATATGTATTTGTCCGAGTACAGTAAAGGTTTATTATTATTGTTACTATTATTGTTATTACTTATTTATTTTTAGTTATTTTTTTCTGATTTTCGTTATTTATTTATTATTATTATTTTTCAAATTATTCGTTTATCTCAAAAATCTATAACCATTACATTATTATGATCATGGTTGGACCCTTTAACTAGGTGTTCATCTCTTCTCTCTCCCCACTTTTTTCATTCTAAATAAATATTATTCTTAAGATTACGAAATTTTGGATTAAGACAACAACTTGTGTTACGCTGAATTCAACTTATCAGACTCGTTTTATCTTTACTATGCATATACACCTCATACATATTGATTATCTTTTGCACTTAATTGAGACATTCATGGCATCACTCCAAACTATGTCTGCACGAACAAACACTTATTCTAACGTCAAATCTTACTGCAATAGTAAGTTATTTACGTATTAATTCATTTTGTTTTATTTTATTTTCATCACTTGTTTCGCTATACATTTATAGTTGTTTATTCTTGTTCTGTGTTGAGATATTCACGTATTCCGCGTCTCCTTTATTTCCATTTCCTTAGTTTCCTCCTTTCCTCCTTCAAAATCAATTCGAACTTCACGCCAATTACGCAGAACCTGATTTATTATTACTATTTTATTATTAGTATTTTATTTTCCTTTTCCTTCCTCTCTCAAACATGGCAAATGTAATGCTAACATTATTGAAACTTGTGTATTATTGCATTTTTGAAGAAACCCGAAATGGTTTCTTCACAACACTTATGTACCCATAAGATGTTTGTGAATAATAATAATAATAATAATAAGGCGGATAACGAAACGGAGACCGTTTTCTTTTATTCTCGATGACACCATAAATAACACTTGGGAACAAATATGCGAACAGTTATCAAATCACAGGTCGTCCCAACATTCATTTTAGTTAGAAAAACACTTGAGTTAGTG